GAGGTTCTTGTGAGACCAGCAGCGAGCAAAATCCCATGGGAAGTCCTGTGTAGTTAGTTATTTCCTTTCCGGTGATTCATCTCGTTTATCCCAAACACTGACATTTGGAAAACATTCCGAATGCCAGGTATTTCCTCACCTTCCAGCCACCTGTGCCAAACACATCCTTAGCACTGATAAACGTGTATAGGAAGGCGGTGATCCCGTATTACCCATACTGGACGAAGGCTGAGCCTCTTTTCCTCACCCACCCACACAAAAATGTTCACTCTGCAATGAGTGATATAAATTAACAGATCCTCTGCATCATTCCAAGAGAAACATCAGGAGTTCATCTGAGGCCTTAATCTTGCTGCATTGCAGTTTGACAGCATTCCTCACTTTGAGAATCTGTAATTTCACTGTGATACCACATCTTGGTGTGGAGCTAAGCTGTGCCTTCAGAAGGAAAGGCCATCCAGCAGTGTCAGGCCAGAGTCATTTCAGCCCCAGATGCTCTAACTACAAAAGAATATTTTCAAATCACACATTTCTGATGCGACATATGCATTTCTTGGTGGCATTTTAGAAGTACAAAATCTGGTGTCCCAGTTCCAAAGCATGATGTGTTCAGCACCTTTGACACCCGCTGAATCCAATGGGAATTGAACATGCTCAGGATTTAGCATAACTGAGCAGAAAAGCAACAAACATGTTTACATTTAAAAATTAAAACCCTGAGCTTCAGCCAGGACAAGATTTGAATGGTATACTGTTTTTTTTTTTTCCCCATATAGAGACTTTACTCTTTTGGGCTTTTTTTTTAATTTTTTTGATGCCTTCACTTCAAAAAGCCAGAGTCTCTTTTTAGGCTACTATATAGGATTGATTTCATTGCCCTTTAAAAATGCTAGGCAGAAAGCCTTTTCCTTAAGTCTGGAAGATCTTTTTCTTCACAGAAAGCTAGATGTAAAGAAAGTAAAACATCCTTATTTGTCAAATGTCCTTTCCCTCCCCCCCTATATCTAAGGCCTCTCTCCCCTTTACTGCAGATGTTCTTCACTAAAGAGACAAATTTTTTCTAATCTCTTAAAAGACTCTTTACCCTTCTGTACACCTATGACAGAACTCATCCTCATTCCTTTCATACTTAGTACCTTCCTCTGTAAGAGAGAGAGGAATTTGGAGAGGTTTTAGTTGTTTGGGGTGTTTTTATATTAAAGTTAACAGTTTAAATATGTCAATATCTGGTAAACAAGAACATGCATGTTTTGGAATACATATTTTAAGAGTCAAAGGCTTGAGCTGATTGCAGCTAGTGTGCTGCTGCAAAGACCTTTTTGGCATCAAATCTGCTTTTAGTTGAGCCAGAGCAAATCTTCATCAGCTTGCTTTTCTTCCCCTTCATTCTCTGTGCTCCCATTGAGAGTTATTGCAAAGTGAGAAAGATATTTTTTACATTAACTGTTCTGCTTCGCCTAAGAACCAATGAAAGATTTACAGGTTCCAAGATTCCCGCTTTACTATTGTGTCCTGTAAGCATGGAAACTGATAATACTATAGAAACCATGCCAGCCTTGGCTTTCACCATGACCTGCTTTCCACCAATTTAAAAGCAGTCAGTCCCATTATCTTAGTTCTATTAGCGCACTCGTCTGAAGAATATTGTCATCATATCCACATTATTTAACTTTTTATTACTTCTAACCAAATTCAAACTCAAAACAACTCAACACTTGATTTCAGTTCCTGCCTAAAACTCCCTCTCCACTACTGTCTTTTAAATTTTAACAAAAACATCATCTGACTGGAGCTCAGACAATAAAAGAGGGTCCCTCACTCTACTAGGTTTATTTTCCTTTTTATCACCTACTTTCTGGGAAAAAATATTTCTACAGTGGGGAAACACTGGCTTCATCCCTTGCTCATCTAAGCCCAGTTTAAAAACAGTGGAGCACCTGAGTTTGTGGAAAGCCAATCTTTCCTAAAGATGGGTTGTATGGCTGTAGCAGCACCATGAAAACAAGCAAAAAAGAACTCACATGGCTTGTACTTTAAAACATCGCTTTTAAATACTTCTGTGGCTGGATCTTTAATTAGTCCTACTTTAGTGAGAAATCAAACAGATAAAACTTCTCAGCATGAAGTACAGCAGTGAAAACGCTCTAGGAAAAATCTGTGACCAAATTGGGAACAACCTCAGAGCAAAGACATCCTAATTATATAAAACCATTAAAAACCATTAAAAAATATTGATAAAATTTGGACCTCCTGAAATTTTGCCCAAAATAACACACAGAAACACTGGATTAAACCTTATAAAAGTTTCAGTGCAGCATGATGTTTGTTGTTTTCACCATTTTTATCACTTTTAAGGACTTCTTCTCTGTGCCTACCGATTTCTCTCCTGATTTACAGACACTGAAGTATCCCTGGAGGAGAGCCTCAAGCACTGCTGCACAGCACTGCTCCAGAAAAGGCTGGAAATGCAGATCAAACTCAAATCCAAGTATTTCTAGAAAGCTGAGAATTTGTTTGACCTAAAAGCTAATTGTACAGACATTGCTTGTCTAGTGCCCTTTCTTCATTACATTAAACTTCACTTACACACGAGAGAAGGAAATTGTAATTCACCCTCATAAATTATCTTCCATTTTCTTTCACATGAAACAGTGGGAAGTAATCACCCTATTTTGCTATCTTGATATATCTTTAAAGGTACTCATTAAGAGAAACGTGCATCCAGCAGGTGAACAGAGATAACTGGTCATAAGTGATGACAGACAAAAATATATGCAAGTATCTGATCTGAAAAAGGGCCAAGTTGGAAGCCAGATGCTCACTGAACTATCCACTTTACTGGCTTGTTTATTCAGCTCACGGCGGGATGATTCAACGCATCTTTACACGCAACTCCCTATTCATACGGCATCTTCTAGTCACAAAACCAAGCATTTTCCATTTCTTCTTCTAAACAAAGGGCAGAACAGTGGAATGGGAACTTGCCATTCAGCAGCGGAAACTATTTGTAAAGCTGGGAAGCTGGAGACACTAGGAAGAAAAGGCTTTAATGAAACTGGCCACTGTGCGTGCCAACTGCCAAGACTTCTTATGCATTCTTCCAAGGAACACTGACTGAGGCTTTTTCTGTATTTACTCTTTGCATCCCAGTTATTATAATACTTTGAATGATGCAAAAGAACAAAATTCATGAGCAATGCCGTGTTAGAAACAGGCAGCCCTTTTTTCCCCCTGCAACTAGTGTGTAGCTACACTCAATGACCCATTAACTTATTTTTGGTTCTGTACAAAGCCAGCACCAAGACATTTGTGACTCATTATCAACCAGGCACAGGAATTCACCACTAGAGTTTCAGCTGATCCAGATCCAAAGGAAATCCCCATATGCTTTGCTTGGAATTTCTAAAATACAAGTGTTAGAGTTGTTGCCTGGTAAGACAACAGTTTCCATACACAAGGGAGGATATGTTTATGTTTATGTTTTTGGAGGCTTGTAGCTCAGCCAGAGGCAGATAAATTTCCCTAAGGCAGCAAAAGCTGTATCACTGTCACCCGGATATGAACACAGCACTGTTTCAGGTCACTGCTCCAAAGTGTAGGGGCAGTAGAGCTTCAACAGTTTTTCAGACCAACACTTAAGCCTGAAACCCTTTCTATTGTTGCCTTTTTTCCATTAGGATAGCCCACATTGTGTGGAAATGAGATGTGCTACACAAACCAGCCTTGCTCCCTACACAGCTTTCATTCATTCTTTCCCAGAGCACAGCCTGTCCTGCGCTGTGGAGGAGAAAAGATCTTGTGTGTTCAGCTTTGGTGTCCCCTGTGACACAGGTTCCCAAAATGAGGCTGGAGCACACTCAGCAGTGCCCTCAGCAGCCAGAGGTTACTTAGTAGGCAACACAGCATTTTACATCATACCAGCATTTGAGTGATAGCTAAATGAGCCGAAATCTTGCCTGGAACATCATGTTCAATGACCAGTCCATTGAGAAGGGCCTTCAGCATTACAAGAACCACACAAACACTCCACCATCACCCTCTCTTTTGGACCAAGACAAAAGTTTACCTTATTTCCCTGCCCTTGTAAACAGCACACTGAAAGCTGGAGAGCTAAGGCAAGCACATCACATTTTCCACTCTGCTATGGAAAAAGCAGAAGGTGACTATGTAATTAAAGATGTTGCGATAATACACTAGGACTGCTTACAGGAAGGTGGAAATTCTGGTCTTTCGTACCTTTTAAGGGCTTGACTTGGCAATCTTAATAACATTCTTTGAATTTTTGAAGTAATATAATTACTCTCAATTAATTAAAATGAGGAAAGAATGAAATATCCTTTCACGAGACACTGACATGAATAATATTCAGGGAGCAGAGTGGTGACCACTAATGTACTGCTACCTATTATAACTGCCAGGCAGCAACATCTGAAAAAGTTTCTCCTTCTACCCAGGACAGGAAATAATTGTCTGACGTTCATTGTCAGAAGGTAACTAATAGCAATGAGCTGTAACAGTAAAGTGTGGCTGTGAGGTCCTGATTATATGGAATAGGAACACAAGCTTCAAAGTGACCAGTGACTGCCTTGCAATTCCCCTGCACTGTTTCATAACTCCATCTGAGGCTCTCAGTCACAATCCTAAACTCAAAAGATCCCTGGGGATGTGGGGAGACCCAGGTGAACTGCCTGGGGAGTCTGGGAGCACTTTCCTCTGCCTCCCTCCACTCCTGGCAGCACATCCTTCATGAGGCCATCTGGGATCATACTGTGGCTCACCCTGGAAGAGACCTTTCCCTTGGCAACAATCCTCTGATGGAGATCTTGAAATAAAAAGGCCCCAGATTGCATTCTGCTCTCTGAGCAGAAACACAGAAATCTCTCAACCGTTCCCTTTCACAGTTCTGATCAGCACTTGGAGAAGGCTAAAGGGATGGTATCTGGATGATACTTGAGTTCAACTTAAACATCATTTTGTGCAGTGACTCCAGAAAGTTTTACCTCTGCTCCTGAGTACTTCTGTGTGTGCTCAACAAGCTCAGCTAAGCAGACTTCATCGCTCACTGGCATGGACTGAAAATGAAGTTTGAAGATCTCCCTGCGAGTGGCTGCATCTGGCAACGGCACGTAGATAATTCTGTCTATTCGTCCTGGTCTCAGCAAGGCCTGCAATGAAATCACAGGAGAAGTTATAGCACATCAAGAGAGTAAAAACCACAACTCAAAACCAACACCACCACCAAATAACCAACAATTTCAGCAAAAGCAAGAAGGTGCACAAGAAAAGACAGTAAGGCTACTCAGCTTGTGAAATACCAATTAATGGAAAAAAGGAATCATAAAGGAACTATATGTTCCTAAAATAATACTTTCAGACTTGTTGCAAGGTGTGCTGGAATGTTAGGGCTTGGCAGACGGACAGGTGGCAATGGACACATCCCAAGTTCAGATCTTCCATCAAGCGGAGAAAAAAGGATTTTTGAAGTGAAGCTTACATTCTGAATTCATGTTGCTTTATCCCAAATTATTAGAGCTGCATGTGCTTACAGAGGAACAGATTATTCTGACAAGCTTTTTATGCAAAATAAGGTAACAACAGACAGAGGCCAATGATGCTCAGCTTCAAAACAGGAGATGGAAGGAAAAAATTTCTAGAAGAGAAGCACAGCCTTGGGGCAGGTCATGGGGGAGGCTGTGGAAACTCTTGTCCTCAGGGGTTTTATGGCTCAGCCAGAGGAAGCCAAGCTCTCCCTGATCAGGTGCTGGCAATAGTCCCACATGTGCAGAAGGGGGATCACAGGGCCTCTGGAAGCTCTCTCTAACCAGCATTTCTGTGACTCTGTACTTTCTGGACAGGGTCAAAAAGTAAACATTGTCTATATATAAAACAGTTATATCCGATATATAGGAGAAGCCAAGCTCTTAAATACATGAGAAGAGAGGAAACTCATTTCCCTATATTTATAAAAAAATCTTCCAGATTCTTGAAAACCATCTACAGTAAAAAAAAGTAAAAACCCTCCCAGCCTTTCTTACTTGACATATGAAAAAAACCCCATAACACAATAATCCTGTGCACAGCGAATGCACATAAATAGTATTTAAACTATTTTTTAAGAACTGAACAATGTTTATAAGATTCAGCATGTAACCTAAATTGTTTTTATGTTATGGTTCTCCCTTGGGCAGAGCAGTTTGAGTTCCAGATGACTAGAGATATTGCATGGCTGTCCTGGGCTGTCAGCCAATAAGTCTTTTCCCAGCCTGATCATGTCAGTGAAAGTCATGCTGAAAAAATAGTAGGAAAGAGCTTTCCTTCCTGCACAGCATTGATCAAGTTAACACCCTTCCTAGAGTTTCTTTAAAAAGACTGTTGTGGTGCTTCAGAGTGGAAAAATGTATCCTGAATGTTAAGAGATGTCTTGTTATTTTTAAAACAGAACATGAAAACGCTCAGCAGAAAGCACACGGCACCATGGTGTGCTGCAAGGAGCTGTGTAAGGATAGAAGAAGGAATATATGTGCTGGGAAGACCAAAAGGTCTGTATCCATCCCTGTACCCTGTCCTTGCAGTGGTCAGTGCTAGATCCCTACAAAAGAGAGCAAGAAACAAGTTGTCAAGAGCACTCCTGATACATCCACCAAAGAACCCAGCTCACTGCTGATAACTCGATGAGTGTGTAATTCAGTGTCTAAATCGTGTGTGCGTGTCAGGATGTTGCCAATTTTTGTCAAGGCACTTGAAAGAGAAATTTGCATGTTTCAAGACTAGGCTTGGAGGGAGAGGAATTATTACTGCAATTGTATTCTGCATGCTCTTAAGGAAATGCCCATAGCTAATTCTATTATTTAGAAGAAGCAAGAGATATTCATGTGAGTATGGTGGTGTGCCTCTTTTAAATCAAGGCAGGTTTCATCAGGACACCCAGATAATTGGAACATTTTCTAGAGCCAGCTTAGCTTCCCAGTGATGAATGACCAGGGCTTGCTGTGCAAGTGGGACAGGAAAAATGCCTGGTGCCAATGAGCTGGGGGCAAGCACTCCATTGCCTCGCACTGGCTTTTGGTTCTGAGACAGTCTCCTAACACGACAGAGCACCCACGCTGGCAAAGCACAACTGCAAATGTAACACAGAGAATACACTTTTTTTGGTCAGTTTCTAGAAACTGTATTTCCTCCAGTTTGTCCCCAAAGCTTTGTGTTTTATATATAGTCATAGCTGGAGGCCCAAGTTTTAAACACGCTATCACTACTTTCTTGCTACAATCAGGCCTAGGGACCTTGTCCAAGATGGCCAGATGTGCTGGGAACTGTACAAAAAAAGCACAAGTCAGTCTCAGCAGCGCTTGCTGCTTATATTGACACAGACAAAAAGGAGAGAAAATATTCTGTAACCTCAGCTTGAGACAAGAGTCAAATTCCCTCCAGCCCCCAGAGACAAAAGCAGATTGAACCGAGCGCTGGTCTCCACCAGCCCTCCCGACGTGGTGACCGTGGGAGAACCTGGGCACAGCTCTATTGCTCCTTGTTCTGTTGTCACCACCTTGTCCCTTTGGCAAGCCACCAACCCTTCACGCTCCTGAGGAACTAAAAGCAGAGGGAGAGGACGAGGCAGGAGCCTGCCTTGATCCATCCTGTGTTACTGGAGGACAAAGCCCGGGTGAAGCAGCTGCTCTGCTGCCGGTGCTCAGAATGCAACTGGAGAGCAACGGCAAGTCAAGGCCACTCTGGTTTGCAGGGCATCGTGTTGCTCTCTCAGGTCTTTGGTCTCTGTGTACTTCCCATGGAGGTGCTTTTCCTTTCCGGGCAAAATAATTCAGGACTTAGGACTGAGCTCCATGTAGAGGTCAGCAGTAAGGGTAAGAGGTACCCCTCATGATGTTTTTGCTCACTGGAGGACAGTGAGCTCTTTCTGGGTTGCTTAGGGGAGCCTGCTGCAGCATGTGGTGTGCACACCTGTGGCAGCACTTCAACACCAAGGCCTGGGTCATGCTCACCAGCATGCTGGCAGCAGTGCTGAGTTTGAGGGATGCTGGCACCACCTTTTTCCTCACCACCACTTTTCACACAGACCTCGAAGCTACATCTTTTCTCGGTGGGATGTTGTATGATCCAGGCTCCGCTATGGGAAGGGTTTTAGAGATGGGTACTCCAAGCATGCCATGACTTTCACAGGCCATTCCAGAAGATGGAGCTTCAGTCTTGCAATGTGCATTTGGAAAATTCTGAGGAGAGTGATAAGGACAACGAGGTCACCTCTGGACCAGCCCCACTGCCCGTGGGTGCACTGGGATTTGGTGACGGCCCACTGGCGAGGCACAAGGTGAAGGCACCAGGATTGATCCTCGCTGTGGAGCTGGAGGAGAAGGGATTTAGCAGGAGCAGGCTGTGTCTTGGCTGAGCAGGAGGAGAGGCAGGTGGGGGAGGGTGAAGAGTTGAAGTGGGGCTGCAGGTTCAGGCAGATACAGCTGCACAAAATGAACTGCTCGCGGCTGGGAGATGCAGAAGCGATTTGAGGCGAGGAGCACACAGAAGGTGGGAAGTTGATGGGGCCAAAATTAATTGATGTGTGCGCAGAGCTACATAATTCACTGATGTCGAGATGTGAGGGTTGCATAATTTACGTCGGCCAGGAAGGGCACAAAATTAAGTAATTGGGGTTTTGGTAGAAACCAGAATACTTCAAAACCAGAACACTTCATGCCATTAAGCAATTCTTTCGCAGGTTTATGTAATTTTTTTTTGGTTTTACCGCAACAGTTATGAAAAGGGTCTAAGTGCACATGCACTGAAAGGTTATTAGTGGTACATAGGCACAATGTTCTTCTGGGAGCACTAAGGGAAGTGGGATAATTGTCATGTAATACTTAGTATCATCAACGGCAAAAATACATTTTTATGAAGAAGAAAGTGCTCCCCTTTCAAACATACGTGGTTCATTATTTTCGTAATTAAAATAAGAGTATTTCTTCAAAATAAATCATTGAAAAAGATAGCTAAGTCAAAAATGTGTATTTTGTGCGCAATTATGAAGCTAATTATTTCAGGAAAGAAAACTTAAACAGGTAAAGCTGGTAAAATATTTGTGGTTCCTATTAAGATGGACCAGAATTAACCTTAGGGCTTTGCTAATTTTCCTCCTCCTCCTCTTTTCCTTTTTTTTTTTTTACAGCATCTATCTCTAGTTAGCTTTTCAAAAATCACATTGTCAAAGAAAGCAGAATTACAACACTGGCAGAAGCAGACCCAGGTGATGAGTTTTCTGTGGGATAGGAAAAAAAATAGCTTTCCTACTGACATACCTCCACAGCCATGCCTAATTCACCAAAAGCATTTTTAATCAGATCTTACAGCAAAAAGTCACGATAAACTGTGCAAGAGGGTGACCTGACATTAGAAAAAATAAATATAATTAAAAAAAACCCAAACAAACCACAAAACAAACAGTAAATGGCATATTGAGGTGTGTAAGAGAAAGCAAGTCAGTTCAGCAGGTACCAGATCTCATCTGGAGAATCAGTGCTACTGCATGTTCTCTGCTGCAATCAATCTCCACAAGCACGAAGAGATTTTTATAAAACTTTTCTTCCAAGTAAGTACATTGCTTTTAATGCAGAACCTAAAAAATGCAACTAAAAGTTTAATTTTTGCCTTTGGAGTCCATTGGGATTAGACCACTGATGAAAATGAGAGGACCGGAAATAGTTAATTTGCAACCAAATCCTTCCAATTTGAATTAACAATTGTTATTTATGAACCCTAGTTGTGGCCCCTACTTACACAGAGATGGCCCCTACTACACTACAAGAGATGCTCTGTATCTTGTAACCTCACTGGGTAATGCAAAATTGTTTTACTTTCATCATTACAGTATTTGAGCATTTCTAAAGCGTTTTAAAGTCATAGGATGAATAGAATCAGACAATGGCCTGGGTTGGAAAGGGCCTTAAAGATCACCCAATTCCAACCCCCCTGCCATGAGCAGGAGACCAGGGTGCTCAGAGCTCCATCCAACCTGGCCTCGAGCATGTCCAGGGCATCCACAACTTCCCTGGGCAACCTGTGCCAGGGCCTCACCACACAGCCATAGCCTTCCTGTAGTCTGTGCAAGCAATAACTGTGAGATGCTTTCCATGGTTTTGCCCACATGTCAGGGCAGATGCGT